CCCCTCCTCTCCCTTTCCTCCCCTCCCCTCCCCTTCCTTTCTCTCCTCTCCTGTCCTCTCCCTTTCCCTTCCTCCCTCTCTTCCCCTCCCTGTCACTCCTTCCTTTATCTCTTCCCCACTTTTTGAGGAAGAGTCTCTCTCTGTAGCCTGGCTTCCAATTCTCAAGACACCACCCCCAGCCTTTCAAGTCCTGGAATTATGGATATGCACCCTTATGCCTAATATCTTAATTTAGAAAATAGACATATAATAATCATGCATATTTATGGGATTATAATGCACTATTTTGAGAGTTGCTGATATTGTGCAATTATGTAATTAGTATATCTATCACCTCAAACATTTATCATTTCTTTACAATGGAAAGAGTCAACATTCTCCTCCCAGCTATTCTGAAATACGAAGTACCTTCAGTCCTTAAAACGGATGATTCCAGTTACCTGTGGAAATGAGGCTAAGCCTAGAGGATATTATGTTTAATAAAATAAGCCAGAAAGAGAAAGAACAACACCGTGTGATCTCACTTGTGTATGGAATCCAAAAGAATCTACTCCTCTCACAGAAGCTGAGAAATGGTGTGTGGTTTCCAGTGGTTGTAGGCATTCAGCAAAGGGATGAGTGATTGAGGGTTGGGTCTACAAGAAATATAAGAGGTCTACAGTTAGCCATACATGTTGTGCACTAGTTTTACTTTTTAAATTCAGCTTTAGGCATCTCCTGCCATAAGCTCTGTCAGTGTCTGCCAACAACATTCACCCAGCAAACATTCACATACTATCTGATATGTCCAGACACTTAGAACAGAACGCTGAGGAGATCAAAATTCCAGGCCTTGAGCAACTGGCTTCCAATGATGTCATTTACTGGTTCTGGTCACAGGAGAAATATATTATTGAGAATCATTGGTGACTTCAGTGGAAGCAGCTTTGAAATAAGTCCATGCCAGGAAGGATCACACCCCAGTGACAATCACTTATGTTCCAACCATATCATCACATTTTGTTCTATAGCATCTTCAAGATTATCAAGTATTTTCTCCCTCCACTGCATTATGTTTGTGTGATAGGAGTGTATATGTGTGTATGCATGTTTGCATGTGTATGGACACAAGTATGTGTGGGTGCACGTGTGTGCATGTAAAGGCTCAGGTTAATGCCGGGTGTCGTCCTCAGCTTCTCTCCACCTTATAGATTAAGGCAGGGTCTCCTACTGAATCTGGAACTCTTCATTTCCAGTAAATTTGGCTAGCCAGCTGGATCTGAAAATGTCCTGCTTCTATCTCCTGAATGCTGGTGGGATTTCAGGTGGGCTACTGTGCCCACTTGGCTTTCATGTGGAAAGAATCTGAACTTTGATACTCGTGCTTGCAGGGCAGGTGTTTAACCCACAGACCTGTCTCTTACCTTCTAGTACTTTCATAAGTGATTACATTGTGCCTTGTGTTCACTTAATACTAACCAGCTGACAGTCCCTTAAGAGCAAAGTTTCTGGCATTGGTCAGATCCCTGGAAGGAGACACCATCCTGAGCAGGAGAGATCAGGAAGAAGAAAGGGGACTGAGAATGATCTTGGGCATCAACAGTACACCTGTACTTCCAAATTTTACCTGGGTTTTAAATCTGGAAATATAAACTTCTAAAGCACTTAAACAATGAATTATTTTGTAGAGTGATGGAATGTTCTAGAGTCATTTTTTCATCTGTATCTGTTATTTTCCAGCTCAATGTAATAGCATCTCCTTTGGATTTGGGTCAGAGAATGATGAATATACTCTACCCTGCAGCAGTGGCTTCATAGGAAGCATGACGGTCAGGTGCCAGTCCTCTGGGTGGCAGATCACCAGCGAGTCCTGTGTGCTCTCTCAGCTTGAAGAACTGAAGAAGGTGACATAGGGTTTTTTTTTTTTTTTTGGGCAGGGAGTTTGAATTCCACGGTGAGCATCTCCTAGGGATTCTGGCTAGGTAGAAGGTCAAAGGTGACTATTGATATCTTTGAACAGAATGCAAAAGTATGAAGGCTCTGTTGGTTTTGGTTAACCAGGGATTGCCAGCATGAGTGATAGAGTCAGAAATTTTCTAATGGCTTTGTCTTAGTAAAATCACTCAATGCTAAAAGATATGATAGATCCTTAAGCACCAACTAAGGAGGACTTGGAAATCCAAGAGGCCTTGGAGTTGGAGTTGAAGATTAAAGGGAATCATGAATCATGGCAATGTACTTAATATAAGTGAGCGTATATAAACATCTTCAACCAGAATAGTGAGTAGGTTGGACATGGGTGACTCATTCAATAGATTTTAAAAGCTATCTGTTCTGCCAACCACATAACTACGTATATGTACGTATATACACACAGACACACATTCAGGAAACAAAAATTCAAGCAGCTAGTGGTCCATCTGGTAACAGTAACATTAATCTAAAAACAGTCACTTGCTTCCTAGTCCAATATTATGTTTTGTGTCAAGAAGAAAGAAAAACTCAAAGAAAGAAAGAAAGAAAGAAAGAAAGAAAGAAAGAAAGA